GCTACAGGTTGGATGCACCATCCTTATAAGCAACTGTGGCCTTCCATAAACTTGGAACCCTGTCAGGACTGCTGCCCTGGCTTCCAGAACTACTACAGAACCTTGAAACACTACACGATTATTAGAGTGACATTGTATACATCTTCTCTTCCTATATGAATAGTTAAATTACCTACAGCTCTGCTGAAGTTTGCAATGTAATCACTCTGCAGCAGTTGGCAGAACAAATATGCACATATTGCTTCAGTTTCTTCACTCTGAAACACTCTGGGCTGAGTGTGAAGGAGTGAAGAACACTCCTTCCATCTTGCCAACAGATTGCTTTCTAGACAGATTTTTCTCTAGCTCCTGAAGCCTCATCTCCTGCTTCTGGTCTCCTATTCTCTCTAGTGTAGCACTAGAGGTGCTACTAAAGGTGACAGTTGTTCTCTAGGAGGTCCTCCCCACATCCTGCTTTTAAAAAACAACTATGCACATACCCCAAAAGAAAACCCAATTTGTGAAAATCGGTATCTCACAGCAGTTCTAAACCACCGCTTAATGTCACCTAAGCCCTGCCAAACATCAGGGTTTGACACACAGTCCGTTCTTGGATCTGAGCTCATCAATACACTTTGGCATTGTGATACTTACAGGCAGGAGGTGAGAGAAAACACACTTCAAACATATTTAAACAGTCCAAACCAAAACATCTTTTTCCACAAGTTTTCAGTCACGTGGGACGTTCATGAATCCAACCGTACTTCATATGCTACACTAAATCCTGAACCTCCTACCCAAATGCTATTTGCTAGCTGATATGGCACTCCAGTTCAATCCACTCCTAAGCACAGAGAAAAAGTCAAGGAGAAATAATCCTGGGTATTTCCTCTTTTAGACTTTTCCAGAACTTTGTAGCAGCCAACTATATGCTACCCATACAAATCAATCAACACATCAATTGCCTAATCCTCTGCATAAGCAAGGTTTCAAATGTATTGTTTTGACTAAAAAGCTTGTGAAGATGTACACTTTACTTAAAGAGTTGCTATAGCAACTTTTTTTTTTCCCCCACATTACCATGGTTTGAAAAGTTTACATCCCCTGCAATTTAAAGTGATGTCTTGAGATAGCTAGCACACCAACAGGGTACATTATGAACTCCCTGTTCACTAAATTAAAATTGCAAGGGCCAGCAAAAAAACAAACAACCCCTAAACAGCAATCCTGGAACACAGGCAACAAACTATACTCAAGAAATCAACTGTGATAGTTGAAGTGTACACATAAGATATAAAATGGAGCACAAGTTAAATTACTGTTGCATATACTTGGATCTCCTGCTTTCAGACCTTCTTGCTTGGATTCACTTGTTCTTCTAATGCAAGTCTGACTGTTTTCTCTTCCTTGTGCTCACCTTACCCCTTCATACACACTTTATTGCTCTTCAAATCCAGACCCCACCCAGCCCCAACATTACTCTAAAGTATATGCACACACACACTATGGAACAACATAACCAAGAGTGTAGGTGCTTTATTTATAAGAATGTACACATATAAATGCACCTAAAAAATGCAGTAAAGAAAACAAAGGACAGAAATGTAATCAGTCAAGACCAGTTTTGATGATGTTTGGGTAAACAGCACAAGCATGTTCCCATAATGAATTCCTCCCCTGACTGACATCACTTCTGCTCAATGATTTTCCCAAGTAGCAGCCAGTCCTTAGTTTAATTGCATGGCTCCTGTCGACGGAGCTTACAAATGGTAAGCATTCAAGCAGCCTTGGCAAAGGCAGTAACAACAGCAGCTCAAGAGGCCAAACAATCCTGCAAACAAGAGAGTTCAAAAAGAAGTGAAAATAAATGTTCACGCCGGGTACTGAAGGTATTTTTTCAAGCAATAAATTTAACAGGAAGAGATCCTTTAAACAGGCAACCAGCAAAGGCAGAAGTGTGCAACAGCTACAGCTTGCTGGAGCAAATTATGCAACATCAAGCTACCAAGGTTTTACACAGTTCAGCGAAACTGTGGGAAGCTTTGAAGTGTACCCATCAAGGGCTTTAAATGAAAACCTGAGATGCAATCAGCTGTCAAGAACATACATGAGAACTCCTTGATTTATTTTGCTTTAGGTTGTTGTAGGATTGTTTTTAAGGATGTAGCAAAGTGCTATTTATACTCTTTGTTTTAGCTGCCTCACTGGTAAGTGCAAAATCTGACAATTGATGTCAAATACTCTGTCACGTGCTCCAATGATAAATGATTTATGGAAACAAGTTATTAATGTAACAATATTGTAGCATTATCATCTGAATAAACACGGCATTATTAAAATATTAGTATAGTAGACTATTGAGAAATAATAAGCAATTTTGTCTGCACAACATTCATAATCCCTACGGTTTATTTCAATATATATTAATCTAAATAAAATTGATATTTGTAAAGTCTTAACACCGTGATCTTGTAAGAGTGAATATTCCACAAGCGAGAAAACAGGGGAAAGGGAGTTAGGGAAAAACAGGCAAGGTCACACGTTGCAATGAGAGGGCAGGTAGAGATTATTTGCTCATTAACACTTCCAACGTAAGTGCTAAGGGGCACCTGATAAAGACAGTTTTGTAGCCAGGTTTAAAATTAACATCGTGACATAAGGGGCAGCTGAACTGCATAAATCCTAGCCACAGAACACCCAAATGTTTATGTGTAAGCTCGGGAAGAAAAAAATTGCTGATGATTCCTAAACGAAAAGAAATTTGTTAATTCCTTGAACTGCAAGTGTCAGAACTTCATGGAAACATCAACGTACATTAGTCCTGCTTGGAGGCCCTCCCTCCCCCAGGTAAATTCTTCCCTCTGACAGGTGGAGTTTTGATCCGTCTCAGTGTGGTTGTCCATACAGCCTTACATTCCCCAAATTCTGATCACAGCATGCAAGAAGGCATGTTCTGACAATAACCAGAAGCTTTAAAACAGATCTTGGCTCTGCATATTGCTCAATCAAACAGAGGGAACAAGTCATATTTGATTATAATTCTAAGATCTACAATAAGATGGCTTTTAACCCATGTTGATATGAAATTTAAAGAAAGTTAACAGCAATGCCAATCATTAGAGTAAAACAAAACCAGAAAGATGCCAACTCAAGCCCCATTCTTCCAAGTTTGCTGTGAGCTGCAATGCAATTTAGGCAACCAACAAGAGTGAGACAAATATCTGCAAAACAGGCTTTGTATCTTCTTGCCTCACAGGAATGGGAAAAGGAATGATTCATATACACTGCTCAGTTCTCAAAGAGTTAACATTGCCATTTTTATCACACACCTTGTCTCTTCAACAGTTATCTCTGCCAGCAAATTTTTTTAAAAGTTTTTAAGAACAAGGAATTTCTTCAACTATATAGCTGCAACTTTTTTTTTCCTTCTTAGAGGAAAAATATTTTTTTTTAAATCAAAGGTTTATATTCTCCATTCATTTAACAATATTTTTGTTGCATGTACCAAGCAACAAAATGCTATCAAATGCAGCTGCAGATAACCTCGGTGCACAGGGCCATCAAATCCAGTTTTGTTTATTAAATATTTCTTGGTTCACGTTGTTTGTGTTCACGTTCTAACAGTCACGGCATTGCCAAGAGTGACGAACTCCTGAAGCTAGAAAAGTCTGACTTTCAACAAGGTGCGAGATAGAGCGATTAAGGCTACATATGTAAGCACTGCCGAAACTTTAACGGCAAAAAGAAAAGAAACACACTGAGGTGGTTTTTTCCTTAGGAGGTCTTTATCTAACTCTCAGCTGATGCTCTCCCGCGAAGCCTGAGCTTTACAAATCCGCCTTCTGAGTGGAGTGCTCGGAGAGCGATCATAAGTAAACCCTTCACTGCTTTTCCACTGATTTACTACGTCAGGCCGGCAATACAAATCAGCCACGGTGTTTTTCTAAAGCCTCCGCTCCTGAAGCAGTTTACAGGTTTTTCCTCCCCACACCATTATTACTGAAAACTTTGAGACCACATTAAATTATCAGCAGCGTCAGGAGAACTTCTGCTCCTGTGAGCTGTAGTTTTGTTTGGTCTGTGGGAATTGCCTGGGAGACTTCAACTAGAAGAGAGGCAGCGAGATGAAAGTTTCTTCCTTCTCACGGGTTCAGCCTGACTCGCACTGCGAAGGTTCCCGAGCTGGCGGCCTTCGCTTACAAAACAACCCAAAGAAACTGAAACAAAACAAAACAAAACAAAAAAAAAACACCCCACGACCAAAGCCTTGAGGAAGTTACGCTCACGTCCCTCTGCGGTCTGTAAACCACTCGGTGAAGACTCCGAAGGCTCAGCTTTCCTGCTCCTCTTAACTTTTGAGGGTAGCCGCGGCTGGGCAAGGCAGCCGCCCAAGTCCCAGCCCCGCCGAGCCCCTCGCAGCCGGGGCTGCCCCCGCCCTCCCCGCTCGCCCCCCGGGCTCTGCCCTCGCACCAACAGGTGCCACCGACACCCCCGGCCCCAGCCGGGCTGAGCCGCCGCCCGCGCACGCAGAGCCCCGCGAAGCCCGATCGCCTCACCGGGGTAGCGCTGCCCTCCGCCGTTCTCCTCCCGCTGGGCCATGCCCGGACCGCCCCGCAGCCGCCGCTGCAGGACTAGGAGGCGGCCGGCGGCTGCGGCGGGCGGTCCATGTCGCTGCCCTCCGGTCCCCGCGGAGCAGCGCCGGGCTCAGCGCGGCTGAGGCGGAGCAGCCGCAGCTCGCCGGGCGCCCCCTCGGCCCGGCGCGGGGCCTCCCATGGCGACCGCCCCCGCGGCGGGAGCGGCGCACACCTGGCTGCGGGACAGGTGCCGGGCTGCTCCAGGGACGCTCCAGCCCCCGCGGCTTGGGCTCCTCCCGCCCCGCCGCCGCTTCTCCTGCCCGGCACGGCGGGGGAAGCACCGCCCGCCGGGGGAGGGAACGCCTGCGCGGAGGGGGGCGGGGGGCGGCCGCCGGCCGCCATTTTGGATTGTCTCAGCTCCCGCCGAGGGGGCGGCGGTGTCGAGGGTGTCCGCACGGACCCGCCGCGGAGGCGGCCCGGGAGCGGAGCGGGACTGCGGCTGAGGGCGCTCCGAGGAGCCCCGCGCCCGGGCGGAGCCACTGTTACTCTGCCCGGCGGCTGCAGCCCGTCCTGTGTCACTGCCGGGGGCGGGGGGTGGCCCTGGCGATCCCCGGGGGGAGCAACACTGCGGCCGGGCTCCGCTTGTGTTCCCGCCTGCGTTTAGGAGGAAAACAAACTTCGGTGGGTTTGAAGGTTTGGGCTGCGGAAGGTCTGGGGGCGTCCAGTGCAGGTGTGTCTTTAGCTCTGTGGAACTTTGGCTTTACGCTCTGTAATGCCGAAAGTGGAGGCTTTAGGGTGGTAATTGGCGATTTTTTGCATGTGTGTCTTTCTTTGGCTTCCGCCTCAAGTGCTCCCCTCGCACAGCGGGGCTGCGGTGCACAGCCTGCTCTACGCCCACACTGAAGTCACAGGAGTCAGGAGCAGTCAGCACCTGGCAGGGGCGGAGCTGTCGTGTGTTCCTTATCATCTGGGAAACTCGGGGCTGCGTTTTTTCTGCACAGGTCACATGTTTCGCACCTAGGCTTGGTGATGTGTCTCTGCAATGGTGGTAAGGTAAAGCGGACACCTGAACCGTCACCTCACACTTCAAGTCTACGCTGAAGCAAATGCAGAAATATCTAACCTTTTGTTAGTGTAATTAGTTTGACACCAAGCAGCGGCAAACTCATGATTATTCAAGCTTTGATGTGGGCTAGTTACATCTGAATGAATTGCGAGAGGCAGAGGGAAACCAAGAAGTACTTGCCACCATGGCCCTATTGAAACCAGTTCCATCCTATCAAGATGACTACACTGAAAACTTATCAATCAAAAATTATATCTCTGCAGGTAGTTTCTGTGACTGGATCTGAGACCAGTACTTATTCTGATGTATTTCAAAGATGAGTATCAATATAAAACAATTTAGGATTGACATTAATTACTCCATATATTTTTTTGAAAATCACTGTTTCTAAAAGATAGCTTGCATGTTACTGTTAAAAGTAGGTAAATAGAACCAAACCAGTTTTGAGGCACTAAAAACTTGTTTATGTGCAAAAGTCTTTTGGGCCATATACTGTCACTAATTCGTTTTTCAGTATTAATATTTTTCTTTTGTTTTTGAGAGTGGGAATCAATATTTCTATTGGAGCAACCGGAATAGTGTATTGTCATCGTGGTATTGTTGAACTTGGGTCAGAATTGTTTGGTTTCTAGGGTAAATAAGAGAATGGAAATACACAGTCATGAATTCTGTAAGTCTGTAGAATGTCTGCATAGGAAATAATGATACTTCCAACTTCATAATATAATTTAGGCTGAAGAAACTATTAGAAAAACCTGCTGCTGCAAAAAAAAAGCAGTAGCAGAGCGTACAGAAACTCACAGAAAATCACAGCCTGGTCAATATAGAAAAATACTCTTTGCACGTGAGTTTGATGGGAAAGGGTAAATAGTGTTTCTGGTTGTCATGTGGCTATTGTGTAGAAATGAAGCACTACATAGAGCAGCCTCAAACTGGCTACTGATGTTCACCTAGTGGGCAAAAAAAATCTACATGGTCTAATAATAGAGTGGTGCTACAGAATTTAATTTTTTTTAAAACATGCAATTCCAGAGCTCTGTCGTACAGACTCTCATCCATGCCAGCAGAGTTCAATATGCCAGTTTTATGGTTACTCTGCAAGAAAGCATGAAGAGTTTCTACTCTGTTCTGTCTCAATGATTTCTCTGGAATATACTACATATGATAAAAGTACCCAAAATAACAGTCCTTCCTCTGTTTCGTTAGAGCTGAGGAACAGAAACACAAGTTTCCATCATATTTCTTATGCCTGTAGATGTGAGAAATCATTCTCTGCTTAGGCTTTCAGTTCTGTTTTCAAGCTTCAGCAATTTTGCAATTGATACGACTTCAAAGTTATTTTTTTAAGAACTAGATGAGAACATCTAGATTGACTTTTCATTCATCACAAGCCAAGTGTGATGCAAGCAGCTTTCAGAGCCAGCCAAACTGAGCTTCATTGGAATCTGCTGTGCAGCTCCTGATCCATCTTGAAGACGGTAATTTTCTGTCATAAACTAGAAGACATTTTTTTCTCTAGTTAGCCAGGGATTTGCATATTGTGAAGGTACAAGAGTTGGCTCCTGCCTCCACTTCCCATCACTGTCACTTAAGGCAGTTTTAGCTCACCCAGGCCAGAGAGCAAGTGTTGCAGTGCTGGATACCGTTACCCTCCGTGCTTTACAGAATTACTGCAGGCACGGTGAAGTACCTAATGCATGTTCTATGGTGCAAGAAAAGGGAACAAGGAATAAATTCAGGTTTCCACTGTCTTGTAGCAATGAAAAATATCAGTACCTCAGAAGCAAATGGTGATGCTTTTGACAAATGAATTCTTCTCTGTCAGATTCATCACAAATTAATTTTGTTCACATAAAACTAGTTTTGTCTGTGTTTGATAGCAGTCCATTTCCTGCACAGCCACCATCGGCACAGACATTCCTACTAGCAATGGAATGCCTGTGCACCAAGCCATTTTAATAGGTTTGGGATGAATCAGGAACAGCAGGAGAACGTGCCATTTCATTATCCCAAAACACTGCCTCCTCCTATAGGAACTTAGACCTGATAAAGGCTGAGAAAGCCAGGTCTGTAGCTACCATTACTGTTAATGCTTCTGTTACCACTGGTTTTAAGTTCACGTCCATGAGACAGCAAGAAAATGAAGAGCAGGAAAGGCAGGAAAAGCGTGTGAAGCTTTCCAGCATGTTTGAATTGATATTACTGAAACATGATGCGTGACAGGATTGTTTCTATCACTGTCTACAAGCTGTTTAGGAAGGACAAAATGAGTAATAAGGTGTGAAGAAGTAAAACTTATACAAACTAAAAATATTACTTCTTGTATAATATCTCAGAATTGCAGAATCCTAAGTGCCCATAAACAATTGCTGACAAAGCCTCCATGGTACCTCTGTTACAGATCTTCACTCATCACTAAATCACACCAGAGAAGGAAATGGGGCTGTTATTATGCACAGCTGCATAATGAAAAGTTGGAGTGCTATAGCAGATTTATTCTCTTAAGTAAGCACAATTTAAATTACATTTCACAAAGCAAATAGATCTATTCTATAACAGAAAAGGCATTGGACTCAACATGTGGCAGTTTTCTATTGGAATTCACTAGGGAGAGAAAAAAAGAAGTACTGAACTAAAAATGAGTTGTTGTCTAGAACTAGTAGTGATGAATGAAACTAAGTAACGTTTGTTTGGGGCAGGTAACAGATGCCATTAATGTGTCTCCACGGATCTTCAGTGCTTAAGAGAATCTAATATTTTTGTATTGAATAAAATTACAGGGAAAATGGCAGAAAAATATTTAAAAACCATGAATGACAACTGAGACTTCTTGAAGACTTTTTGTCAAATAGATAAGAGTTCCAGAGTCAAACAACTGAGGGCTCAAATCCCATTACAAAGGACAATTAGAAGCCAAACAACAATGCAAAAATTAAAAGTTATGTAAAAAAAAATGAAAAAGGTAAAATCCTACTGAAAGGGTGTTGGGAATATAAATGATGCTAACAGTCCTTAACATTCATTATTGCATGAATACATGAACTGTGCAAAAATGAAAAATTCAATACCAATTTCTTTCCATATCAGGAAGGGATCAGGGTGGCCCATCACAGCAGGTAGGAATTTATGAGGCAAATTTACTCTTTGGACAAGAGGCTTAACACGTAAGTTGTACTTTTTTCAAACACAAGTTGGGGATCAAACTGTACGAGTTTGTGTGGGTCATTGCATCATTCCTGACACAATTGTCTAATCTGTCCCTAAAAATCTCCAGCAGTGGAAGTGGCATCCCTTTTTAGGCAGTGCTTATGTATTTGCTTTCAGTACTGCTGCTGTACTGTACTGCTCTCTGCTTGAACATTTCTGTGGCTATGAACAAGCAAAGCACTGAAATGAGTCTGAAAATATGCTCATCTGTACTTTTTAACAGGCTTGATTGCCTACAGTGGTTTTAGAAGAAATTCAAGAACTTGAGAGTGCTCAATTCTGTGAGGCAAGGAGAGTTGCTACTTCCTGCTGTGTCTGTTTCCTTGTAGTGAGTAAAGGGTCTGTGCAGAAATGATGGGCAGATAACCCTTCATTAACAACTCCTGAAGTCTTCGTGACAAGCAATTGTAGCAACATTGAATGCCGGTTACTGCTGTTAATAGAAGGAACCCTGCCTTGTACTGAGAGGGAGGCAGAGACTTCCTGCAGCTTTTGCACTCTTGGATTAGCTGGGTCCTATGGCTGCAGTACACAACAGTACCAGACACGGTCGTTCCAGCAGCACCTGCCCTGCGGGAAGGCTGCCAGGCGGGAGGAGGCAGCACCCGCGGCAGCCTCTCAGCACAGCCTCCGTCCTCGGTGTGTTTATAGTGAAGCTGTTACGGATGAAGGAGGGCAGGGAGGCCAGTGTTTTGTCACCCAGTGGCTTTTTCCCATCAGTGTGCTGACCCACTGCCAGCTCTGCGAGCTGTTTTCCCCTTTCATCCCATTATCATCCTCTTGGAGCATAGAGGTACCTCATAAAATTTATAAGCACTTGCACATAACAACACATTTTAGGAGAACCTTGAACGACAGAACAGGAGGCTTACTGTAGGAAGCTAAAATATGTCAGTAACGTCTCACTTGTCCCAAACTTCTGGAGTCTTGTTGCTACTAGTTCCATGGATCATAAAAGAAAATTATGTGAGATGCTGTACATGAAAGCTAATGACTAATTAATTGGGGATAATACTTAACTATGCTGGTCCTGGCAGGGAAATAATGAGCTACTGTCAAGGAATCCTGGCTTTCCAGAAGGTGCAGTCCCTTCCCATGTATTTTCCCATCGGACAGCACCCCTGTGAAGTCCCAGTGTGATGTGCATTTACAGCTGCCCCACTGCTGACAGGTGCACTTGCTCCCTAGGACTGTGCAGTGGGGTTTGCATGGCAGAAGCATTGTTTACATTGGAAACTAATTCTTTAAGAAATGTGGAGTTAATTCAGATACAGCAATTGAAAAGTCTGGCTGATTCTTTTATCAAGCATGTTCTATAAGCACAATGAAAATATATTCCTTCTGCTGTATTTAAGAAATAATTGAAAATAATTTATGCCTTTAAAAGTTTCAGCTACTAAGTTTGAAGCATGCTAGATACTAATGAACGAAAGTATTCACCCAAGGGCCTTACAGAGCAACTCTTTTCCATTATTTCCAAGTGTGTATTTGTGGTATTTTCACTGCACTTCCAATTCAGCAGAGTCTGAATCATTCTGCACAGAATCCCAGGTCCCGTTGGCTGCAGACCTACAGCACCAGAGTGCACCAAGCTCCACCAAGTGAAATGTGAGCTGCTGGGAGTTTTTTTCCTTTCTATGAAAAGAGGTGTATCTGTGGAATGAGGAGAGTGCACTTTCGTGGAATTTACTGACCATTTAATGGCTGAACGCAAGTTGAAAGCAGAAATAAAAGTCTGCTGGTTTAGATCCCCTGCTGTATACAAGTTCTTAAACTGTTATGTGTGAGAGGGTCTGGGTTTGTGTGGGTTTAATTTCTTTCTTAAAGAGATTTTGTGTTTTCTAAATGTGAAGTTGTCCTTACAAATTTTTGGAATGAGATTATGATATTTTATGCAGAAATAAGGTGAGGACTAAGCTTATTTTGTCTTTTTTTTGTTTTGTTTTGTTTTAAGAACAGATGCAGTGTATTTAATTTTCCTACTTTGTATTGAAAAAGAATAAAAAATAGTTTTAAAAATTACAGCAATGAAAAGGACTCCTGAACTTGGTATCTCATGCTATTTCTCCAGAATGTTTAATGCTTAGCTGCCATGTTGTATTTAAGCTATACAATTAGCCAAAGAAAATAAAGACACACACACACCATCCAATTGTCCTTTTATATTTTTATTCGGTGTTAAGTAACTCCACAAGAAAACAAAATCAGTTACTCTGGTGTACGTGAAATCAGAACAATACAACCACTTGAAGCAAAAAGTAGAAACAAATTTCAGCCCAGGAATGGAAAACTGATACTTCAGTGCTATGGATATGCAATGCGCTTCATCCCACAGTGCGGTTCAGCGTACGCCAACCTTTAATGCTTTTGTTGTTGTTGTTGTTGTTGTTGTTGTTGTTGTTGTGTGTTTCTATCCATATAGAAAAACTAAAAACCACACTTCAACTCTCACTGAAAGCCTTAGAGCTTTAGCCATTAAACTATGAAAACAAGTAAAGACAATTTGTTATTGCCCAAGCTCAGTATAGGATTTTATTTTCCCCAAAGGTGCTGGAATCATTACACACCACAATGTAACTACGAGCAACACCTTTGATATTTTGAGCCCTTTCTTACCAAAGAAGCAGCTCAAGCCAGTATTAACTGAGCTGAAGTTTGTGTTTGAAATATGTCCATTTGGTCATTTCCTGTTCTCAAATGAAGTTCTATTCCATTCTTCACTGTAGTGATTTGAAGAATTTGTGTGTAAAGTTCTTTTTTTACTTTCATGTTACAGTTAACTAGTTCTCAGTGCAGGTGCTAAACAACCTCTCAAGGAAGCTCCAGAAGAAAGTAAAATATATAAAAATCTATTCAAAGTCTGCAAATAAATTAAGAAAAGAAACTGTAAAGTGTCAAAAGATTTGTTGTATGAATACAAACCCTAAAACATAGTCTAAGAGGAGGACCAAAAGAAAGTCCCCGGGTAAGGGCAACCAAGCCAATTTTAGTAAGGATCTCACCAAAAGCGTTGCACAAAGACTGGCATGGTTCCCCAACCACATATTTAAATTCTTACACTGTCAACTGAATAAAGGCAACAAAACCCAGTTACTCAGAAAGCATTTCTAGCGCAGAACATATTTCAAAGGCAGTTCAGCTCACATTTCAAACAGCTACGTTTCTTGTGAGGTTTATTGCCTGTCAAAATTAATGGTGAAGCTTTTCAAGTCAGTGTTGGACTCTCTGCACTTCCTGGTGTTCTAGACATGCTGCAATCGTGTAGACTAGTTAGTTGTTGTCATTTTTTAAACTAGGAGTTGGCAAAAACTTAGAATGTTTAGTTTTGCAAATATTGCTCCTCCTGGCTTATACATTTTGCATAATGTGTTAAAAGCACAAGGAGTTGATAGTCTTGTACAGATGCAACTTGACAATGTATTGACTTTCTAAGTTAACAAAATAAAATTTAAAAGCAAGTCACATAAAGCAACAATCACTACTGCAATCACACATGTTATGTTGTAATTCATCACCTTCCCTACCCCCACCCACCACACACAGAACTTGCCCCACACATTCTCTCAGGAACACAAAATGAACTACGAGATTTACTAAATTACAGCCACAACAGCAGCTAACTGCAGCAGCCACAGGATTTCTTTCAAGTGAAGCACTGACCCTTTGCATTTAGAACATTGAACACTCTGAGCATTTTAGAGAGTTTCAGTCATTCAGGCTCAAGTTCAGTTACAGGATGCTTTTGCAGGTTACATGAATGCCTTCATCTGCAACAAGACAACATTCTCATTACTCGTTAACAAAATTCACAACAATCCACACATCACCCCAGTGGTTTATTATTTTTGGTGTTACTTTTTAAACTTCTGCCCCACATTGGCAAGTTGCTAAAAAGGACAAAAAAAAGAAAAAAAGGAAAAAAACCCCACATTGCCTCCATACCTACAAAAAATCCTTGGCTTCTCCAGTTAGCAAAAATACAAACCATGGTATCCTCAGTGTTGGTTTGCGGGAGGGGGGAATCATAGGATAGAAAACACAGTTTCTGTAAGTCTCTAAAGCACAACCCTGTTGTTCCTACTTCAAAGTTATGAGATTTACTGAATGAAGACTGGACAAGTCATTCATGCTTTTCTCCTGCATTCAGAAAGGCACTGATAGATTACAGTGTTAAGTATTTATCTCCCAGTTCTTAGAGAACAAAGCCTAATGTGCAGAAAGCTGAAGTCTCTGAATAGCAGAAGTAGTTGTAGACACTGCGATGCTAAGAAGATAGTAATAGTGGTAGGGCTACAGTTACGAATGAAAATAACTGCAATTAAGATGCAAAAAAGCAGTGGTACTACTAAGACAAGCACATGCACATCCATTCTTGATTTGACAACACAATCTAGTCTAGTTCAAATAGCCAAGAATTTAACAGTATTTTTTGGGGAAAAAAAATCTTCAACAGGACAGCTGTGTCCTCATCTATAAAGTAAGCAAGAAGAGAAAGATAAATACACATCTGAATCCATTAACTGAAGAGGAAACTCAAGTTGTTGTTTTAGAGCTACAGACCCTCAAGAAGGATAGTTTTCCATCTCATGTTACTTTTCAATCATCTTTTCTACTCTGCAGTTTTTACAGTTGAGTTCGAGAAAAAAGCTCCTCCTCACACGGATCAGCCCATTCACTTCCACCTTCTGAAGCTGTGTCTTCAGAGCTGGAGCTATCACTGGAGTAGATCTTCTTCCTGAAGCCATTTGGTTTTGCCTCAGCATTTATATCATCTGCACATCTTGCTTCATAAACAGAAGAAACCTAAGGATTTAAACTGACAGTGTTGATGGGGAACAAAAAAGAACACGCTTGCTTTTCTCTGGGCAGGGAGGTTACATGGTTTTGTAGTTGTCCAAGAGAGATGCCAAGATTACAGGGCAAGTCCTTCTCTTTCCTAAATTAATCCACTATGCAGAAAGGACTGCAGAACAACAGGATAAAAAGGTGAGGCTTTTATTATTTTTTCCTATTCCTTAATTTTAGGATTTGCACAAAAAAAGCAAGAGAATCAAAAGCAAACTCAGTTAGGATGTATCTTTATCACAGTTTATGTTAGAAAAATTACTGTAAAAGGTATCTCCCAAACTTGGTAGTAAGTATTAAATAGCAAGAAAACACAGCACAGATCTGACTTCAAGCAAATGTATTTTCAGTATATGTTCAGCTGAATCAGTAAAGCCACAGCAAGCATGTCATAGTGTAAATGTAGTGCTATCATCACTATAAAGTTTAAAGGTGTATCAGTAAATACATTTGAACATGACAATTTTTCCCTACAGAAAAAAATCGTGGTTTTTTGCTTGTAATGAGGACAGAATTCAGCAAAAATTATCTTTATGCCTTCACTTACTGGTTCTTTCTGCCCTCACAATGCATATCAGCCCACTCTACGCTTACTTAGTTGAGGAAAAGAAGACTCATGTTTAGCACTCATGACAAGCAAATGCCAAGCATTCCCAAAGGAAACTGGCTTTGCTTATCTACTAGAAGTACAACTATTCGTACAAAGGGTTGTACTCCCCAAAGTACAACACCTTGAGGAATTTTCAGAAGAATGCCCAAGATGCAGAGGAGATTAAAAAACAAAGTAAGGGAAGAAAAGCTTTTGAAGGTTTTTGCAGGAATTTCATTTGAGGTCAGACTGAGAACTGTGATGAAAGAAAAGATGCAGCAGCCCACCCTTATAAAATAAGCAAAAACCTTCCTCCCCCAAACCAATGACAAACTTACCATATTAAAATCTAAAAGATGTTCATCATCATTGGATATTTCCTTTACATCTGCAAGTTCTCCTACACCATTCTCTCCCTTGGCATTTGTATAGCACTCTTACATTGTGTTTGTGGGGGTGTTTCAGAGGAAAAGGAAGAAAAAACAGAATTGAGGAACACTGTTATTTACATTTAGCCAAAATGAAAGCATCCAGAGATGTATTCTTGAAATTCATACTCTAAACCCCTGTGCTTCTGGGGGATTTTATGGTCTGACACCCTGACAGAGATAAGCATAATACCTTATGGAAGCTTCATCAAATCCTACCTGGATAACAAAATAATAAAAGAGGAAGCTACTTAGTTAATGAAAACATCTAAAATACTAAAGTATAAAGAGCAAGAATTACTTTCTTATCACAAATGCTTCAGTGCATTTTTCAATTCTGATGCTGCACGGTGTTCCAGATCATTCCTATTTCTATCCTCATACAGTACAGACTGCAACTGCAGCCTGATCCTCACTGAAGCTCAAAAAAAACCCCAGTTGATGTGAATGGCTGTGGTTTCTACTTACCAGAGTAAACTTCTGTACAGAATATCAACACTTATCATATAGATATACATGGATCACATGCATCAATATCCATTTATAAAAAATACCCATACGGAAAAACTGGATACAGTTTGTGAAAGAATAACATCAGCTCTGAGGATAAAGTTCCTCGTTTAAAAGCCGAGTCTGGAAGAGCGAATCCCGGGCCTGTTGTACCTCACGCACACTCTGCCCCGCCCCAGCAGGTTCTGCCCGCGGCCGCGCTCCCCGCCCGCAGTTACGGGCCCTCACCGCCAGGGGTCAGCACGAGCCGCTCCCGGCGCCGGGAGCCGCGGGTGTCACCGGGAACAACCCCCGGCTCTGCCGCAGGACACTGAGCACCCCCCGCTTTGCAAAGACAGGGCTATTTCGGACATGGGAGGTTCTGTGACCAGTCCTGCAGACATCAATCTCTTGTCTTTCGTTGTGCACATTTCTATAGTTGGGAGCAAAGTAAGTTAAGATGTTCTTAAACGTAACCCAAACTGTCCTGAACAACCAAGTAAGGGCGTTTTGGCACCGAGAATACAAGTTCAGTTGCACTCCTAAAGTAGTTCAGTATCAACCACTGGCTAATCTACTTACATATTATTTGGGAACCAGGTCTCAGATCAAAACTTTCTTGCCCTGAACCTCTACCAAGAGAAAGCACCAGAGAGCCTATCAATTCAGGATACAAAATGTTCTGGTTTAGCTTCTTGCCGTCTCCCAGAAAAGGTGAACTGGTATGCAGACAAAAAACCCCGCCTGGATTCTTGCCTATCCACTGAAAACCTGGGCTGAGTCAGCTGTCAGATACTCCAGATTCCTGGAGGTGCTGGAAGCACACCTGCTTCTGCTCACGAGCAGCCTGCCTACCAGGAGTGGACTCGCTCTCTGTGTGGCACAGAAAAATTCCCAGCCTGTCAGTGTGAATGAAGGGAGTGGCCAAGTGGCAAATCCCTCTCCTTCCCAGTCTGAGAGAGATTCCACACATTCACTGAACAACTGGCATGTTATTTATGCAAACCCATAAAAGGTAATTGTCATGTTTTCACATTCTTATAAAATTACCTACCAAGTAAGGATTTTCTCAGGATGAAACATTAAGAAACGTAATAAAGTATTTTCAGAGTCAGAGATTAATTTTCTGTTTACTTAATTGCAGGCTCTGGAATTAAGTAAACTTGCATAAATATTAAGACTACTTTAAAACCAATTTCTTTTGAAACCAATTTAGAATCATGCTAGAGATCTACTACAAGTGCAACTGAAGCATCCCAGTTCTCTCTCTGATAAGAGAACTGATTGTGGAGGCTTACTGGTGTGGGCTTTTTATATCTAGACAGTAGTTCCAATTTATCTGCAGCAATTCCAGTCCATAACAAGGAGTATTTTGCTCTAACACAGGTGCAACAGCAAGTTAGTTCTAAGAGGCAGAGGTGCTTACCTTCACACTGTGATGCAGGAAAAAGGGGAGAATAGAGCGCCTTTTCCCACCAGCATTGCTTTTCCTGGCTGCCACTCATTCTCTGCAGATTAGTATTCAATATAGGAAAGTGTTTAGACAATAATCACACTTCATTATGCCATAAATAATATACTTACATGTAAAGGAGGAAACCCTGATATTACAACTAATTTGCTAGATCTTACAGGTCACACTGCTCAATTCCTAATCCTAATGGGAAATGACTGTCCAACTACAGCAGAACATCCATTCTCTGAACTCTTACAGCCAATATGAACCATGCTGGGGCTCAGACTTTGCCATACAGAGTTGTACAAATCCAGAACAAAAAAAATTAATTCCAGCCCTACACTTTACAATCTACAGAGAGATGGAGGCATAGTGAAACATTAGTCAACATGATGAATAGCTAGTGTAAAACGAAACAGAAAAGAAAGAAAAAAGAGTGGCAAAATTTCTAATGTTCAAAGTCTGGAAGGGTGAATCAGCAGTACCAATACCCAGTGGGATAACACAAGATTAAACTAGAGAATTATGTGTCAACATGAGGAAAATGTGGTTATGAGGATGATCAATAATTTGTCTTTATGCTAGAAATAATCAATTCACTAAGAATGCCAAAATACTTCCTCTCTCCTCTATATTTTAATGCTAATTTAAGTTTACCAGAGCCCTTTCCTTATGACAATAATGGACATAGCTAAAATACCAAGGGTTTGTCACAACAAACATGTCCCCAGTTTTATGGCTGCACTGAGGTAACCCCGTTAACCTTCAAAAGATGATGCCAGCTTGTAACATCCTCTATAGGTATTAGACAGAATGATTAAAAAACCAAACTACAGTGCAATTACCTACAACAAACATTAACAAATGAGCTTCAACACTGACTTTCTATCCAGCTTCCTCCTCTGTAAGCCTGAGAACATTTAAGCATGGAAAATTAATGAACCTCCTTTTGTTCCTCCTTACACTACTGTAGACTAAACACCTATAGAACTTATACACACTTATTCCTTAATAAAGAGAAGTTCCTCTCACAGCAAAGGAGCAACTCAAGAGTGTTGTATCCACATGCATGTACCAGATTCAACTTATTTTTTCTCAT